GTATTATATTTTAAAAAGATAACACTGTACCCAATTTTCTATCAATGCATTTTTAAAAAACTAGATGAAATAGATTTTTCAGAAAAAAAATGTAAATTGTGAAAATTGGTCAAAAAGAAGCATAACACCTGAATATATTAATCCTTATTCAGGAAAACTTGTCTATACAATGATAAAATTGTAGGAGAGTTTTTAAATAAACTATTCTGGACCACAGGAAAAAAAGAGACAATCTTCCAAATTATTTATTTTAGGTCAGCATAAATCTGAGACTGAAATTTAGAAAGAAGAGCAAAAAACAGAAATTTAAGAAAATCACATATAATTAAAATTTCAAGTAAAATAGCAGCAAAGGGAACATATCAATCCATTAAAAAAACACATTATAACATGTAGAGTTTATTCCAGGAAAGTTTGATTTAATATTAGAAAAATCTAATGATATCAATGGCATAATGAAGCATATTAGTGGATTAATATACAATTATCTGTATAAGTGAGAGAAATGCATTTTATAAAATTTAATTTGCACACTTGAAATTTCAAAGCTAGGTATAAAGTCTATCGATAGGAAATACAATGGGTAATGGTGAGATATATAAAGCTTTCTGGCTAATAATGAAATAGAGCTTATAATTATCACTAATACTAATATACATGCAGAAAACAAGTATTAATCTTCAAAACAGGAAAGAACTGTCATTAATTGCAGTCATAATTATCTATCTGGAATACTCAAGAGAATCATCAAAAAACTATTAGAACTAATGTAAGAGTAAAGTAAGACAGAAACAAGATGGATAAAAGTTGATAAATCTCCAAGAGAGCAATAAAAGAATCATTAGAAAAACTGCTGTGAAAAGTAGAGCTAGCTCATAATAGAAACAAAAATTATCAAACAATCATGCAATAAAACGAGACATTTAGTGAAAGTCTGTAAACTGAAAAGTGAAAATAGTATTAAAAGGGATGAAAAGTGGAACTGGTCACTTTTCATAACTCAATAAAATTTCCAATACTATTTGTCACAGTGCTTCACAAAATGTTTTTAAAACGTGTGCACAAGCAAAAGCACAGACAAAGAATACAGAAGAATCTGACTAATAAAAAGATATGTGGGGAGTCGTTTGTCAGAACCCTTCTCTAGTGTAATCAATCTGGTACTGTGCAGGAATTAAATAGATGACCAACAGAACAGAACAAAGACTCCAAAACCAATGTGTTCAAATGGGAACTGTGTACATGGTGTGACTCGTCACACGACTAGACTAAGATTGAATTTTTCAAGTGATGTAGAACTTTTTATCTAGAAATTTTTAAAGTTAGATTTTGACATCATACAAAACCATTCGTAGAGGAATTAAAATCCTAAATGTAATTTGGAGGTAGGAAAGACCTTCTCAAAAATCTACAGTTGAAAAATAATAAACCACACACACTTTCCCTAAGACAAAACACCATAGATAAATTTATGAGATTAACAATAATAACAGACAGAAAAAAATATATAAAGAGCTCTTGTTAATTAACTGGGAAAAGGCAAATAACTCAATAGGGAAATACAGAGATTTAAAGAAACACAAATGGCTGATAAACATAAGAAAAAAATCCCCACCTTATCTCTTAGTAGTCAGGAAAGCCTAATTATTAACAAGAGGCATATTTAATTGCTCATAATGGCAAAACTTTCAAGTATGTGAGATGTCCAGAAAGTCATCCTCAGTGATGGCTGTTTTAATTGGTATGGTCTTCAGTTAACAATGTTTGGTAACATCTTAATAAAATTTAAAGTGCACATAGTTTTGCCACAGAAAATGACCTATTTCACATCTATTTTACATAGGTCTCTATGTACATGTTTTGTATTGGTCATACTGCAGAAAAATTTCAAGTCACTAAGAAAAGCTTAGGAAAACACGTTTTGGATGAGGTCCATAAACTATATTTATAAATACAATTTTCATTGTTATAGTCATTTTACAGAGTATTTAAAACCAGTACTGTGGTCTGACTTTTTCTCTAACTTCCAAAGAAAAAGGAATAAGGCTTTGGCTAGATTGTCTTGTATTTTGTGGTTACTATTTTGAGCTGCATAAAATCCTTCTGCCAGAGGAGGAAGTTGCTGGTTTTCAGAAAGCTTCATCTTTTAGCTAAAAGGCACTTTGAAGTAATGCTGAAATATTTATAGTTTCAGCCATATTTAATTAACTGTTCTATACTTTCTTTAATCTTGCAATTCCATCTCCAAGCATCTAATTTAGAGAAATACTTCTATGTACAGATTTGCACAAAGATGTTGCGTGTGGCATTGTCTTTAAAAGTGAAAAATTTGGAAACAGCAATTTAACTATTATGTTCATGTTATGGAATGCTACTTAGCAGTTAAAAAGTATGCAGTAGATGTACATATAAACCAATATGGAAACATTTCCAAGATATATTCTCAATGAAATGGAAAAGTTATACAAAAATATACACTATGCAATAATAAAAACAAAGTAAAATTTAAAAAACACCCTAGAAATACGTATATAAAATTACTTTTTGGAATAAGTTGGTAACCAGCTGACAAAGAAGTTCCATGTATATAGCAAGGTCGGGTTTCTTTTTATTGGTTTCCTTCCTGTTAATTTAAAAAAATGCTTTTACAAGGGAGTTAGTTAGTATTACACCTGAAAAAAAGGGGAAGTTTTGAAAAATATTAACATTTATATTTATTCATTGTGTATATATATTGATTTATCATTCCTGCTTTGTAAGTATACATGAATAGTCTTCTAACAGTATTTATGTAAATGATATAAATGTTTAAGTGTCTGAATTTGAAAAGGTAGTTCAGTTATCATTTAAATGTACATCAAGAAAGGGCACAGTCTAAGAATCAATTTTAGAGAAGCCTTTCCCAATTAGCAAATTGAGTAAGTTTTCATTATGAAAATTCCCAGAGGCAAGCTCTAGCATTTAATGATGCAAAAAGTAACAAGAAAGTAGTATTACCCACAGGCTGAATCAATAGAAAAGTAAATTTCACTGTCTAACGTATATAATGTTCCTGTCCTAAGTAAAAGAGAAGAAAAAGTTAGAGGTATCTTGTGTGCTTTCCAAATTGTATAGTATAAGAATATATGTGATAATGACTATGAAATGTTGAAAAACAGAATTCTTTCTTGTCTCTTAAAATTTACCTATCAATCATACTAAGATACATAAAGAATTTAGCTAGATAGTTCCCTTCCTTTTTTGTTCTTGTTGGGACAATTCCTATATATTAAACTAAAGCAAATGGGTAAGTTGATGAATCAGTCAGTCTAACCTTGGTGTGGGTCACAGAGTACATAAACCCATGACTTTCGTGAACTGCAGAATTCCAGGTGTCCACTGCAGTCTCCAGGCCTGGTCCTGTATCATTTTGCTGAAGTTTCCCCTACGCTGGCACTGTGATGGGAATGGCCTGTTACAATCAGCAGACCCAATTTGTTCTGGCTTGAGCAGAATCAAAATTATGTTAGGAATTTTAGCCAAGTTCACTGAGTTAAAGGATGTGATTTTCTATCATCACCAGTAGGTAGGATTCCTGAATCCCTTGATGTTTTTCTCTGATAATGAGAAGACCAAAAATGATTCTCTGTTCCTCACTGTACATGATTACCGTACTACTTGTTTCAGTGGTGAATGGTGGAAGAAGAAATAACGTACTTTTGTACTGTTGTTCTCAATGCAACTCCAGTACTCGGGTTTTCTATGACATTCAAAGCAGCTCCAGCAGAAAAGAAAAAGTTCAAACCAGTCACCAGATCCAAAATTAGCATTTTATTCAGAACGCTGGGGTCAGAGGTGTATTGTTTATATTCTGGTACACAATACAGAGGCAAAGCTGTTGTCAGAAGTCTCTCCAGTTTAAAAGCTTTTTTTTTTCTTTTTTCTTTCTTTCTTTTCTTTTTTTTTTTTTTTTTAAAAACACACTTAGTAGTGCCACCAGTGTCAGGCCACCCCTTTCTTTTCTTTTCTTTTCTTTTTTGTTTTTTGGTACAAATTATGTAAAACATTTGTGCTAAGAACTTCTCTCCCTCCCCCAAACAAAAAGGAAAATGAAAATTAAAAAAATTAAAAAATTAAAAATTGAGTATTCTAACTACAGCTCAACAATTGAATCAAATGTCACTTTGTTTTGTAAATACTTTATCCATAACGAAAGATATAAACATGCAAAAAACCTGAATCCATAGTCCAAATAATACATACACATGTTCCGAAGTTTCTGCACTTCTCCATAGACTATGCCAATAAAACATTATGTACACATACCATTTTTACAGTGAAGTGAAAAAAATACAGTAAATAAAAAAGTGTACATGGATTAAGACCAAAATGTGTCTAACATTCTCGTTTATGAAAAAATTCAATTTTGCTACAAATTGGTGATATGAAAACTCCCTTTATTTGCAACCAGCTGCGTAAGTTTTAAGATTTTAGTGAAAAAAAATCTAAAGTCTAAAACTAGAAGTAATGTACATTTTCCAATCTCATGGTCTTATCCCCCAAGATAATAAAATTGCTCCATGAATTCTTTTTTCTTTGATTAATTCTGTATTTTAACAAAAGCAAATGCAATGTAACAAAAGCGTGTTGAAGCATATCATGGTTTAAATTACTGCTCCCACCACAAAATATTTTGTCTTTTACTTATCGGTTCAGAAATCAGTACCATTAAAGCCTTAAACATAAAACTAATTCCAATCTGAAAAAGGTACAAAAAGGCACATAAAATCCCAGTGCTTCTGTACTGTAAAATTCAAGTGTAACTGAGCTCAGTGTTTTTCCAAACAGCATTGGATCGCTGATATTCCCTCTGAGCCCAAATTGGTTTGCAGCCTATGCCAAAGCCTCCAGCAAGCACTGTGCTAGTAGACTACAAAGTTAAAGCCTAGCTTCTGTATGCTTTTTGGGAATATCAGTTGAAATTGTTTGTACTTGTCCAAAAACCGAGTTCACCCTGAAGTTCAGTCATCACCTCCACCATACATGTCAGCAAGCTTCTTGAACCGTGGCCCCCAGTCGTTCAGGTAATCATAGTCCTGCTCCCCACCACTACTTGAGGAATTAAGGGAGCTCAAGGACCCAGCTGTGGAGCCACTGCCTTCGTAGTCGAAGACTAAGAGGGAGTCATATGGCGGAGCTGTGGGGTCATTGTCAGCAGCTTTAAGGCCCTGCAATTTGGGGAAAGACAGAGAAAGAAAGAATTAAGAGATGGTAACAATTTGCAAAACCACAAGGAGATCCTAGGGATATCATGGAATCAAGCGTTTGTTAGTAAACTTCCATTTGCAAAACCACAACAGTTTCAACACATAGAAATTGGGGTTACCACTGTTTGAAGTTAAGAGAAAAACTAACATGCTTTTCCTCCGCAAAACAACAACAACAACAACAAAAAACAAAAACTAATGCCAAGGAATCTAGCGCAGGGTGGCCAGGTCATAAGACGGAGTGGGTTATGTAGAGAACATGTCTGACAGATGGCAGAAACGAGGAGCCAATTGCTTGCAGTCGATTAGAGAGGATCTTAAATAACATAATATATACAGCAGGATTGCTGGATTTAAAAAATATATCTCAGTGAAATACAAACTCAATTATATCATAGTAATTACTACAAAAGCAATTCATTCATTCATTCAATAAATGTGGAACTACTACTACTCTTGCCAGGGTGTCTGATAAAGGCACTGTGTAGTAGTCCATTGGGTGAGGCTAGTATTGAATGTGTAATCTAGTGGTGGTTACATAAAGTTCTACAGAGGGCTACGAAATCATGTGATATGTGGATCCTAATGAGAGCTCAGGTCAGATTTTGAAGAACCATATGTAAGGCAAAGGAAGGATATACGCAGGCTTGCCAAGTGGATTCACTTCCACACCAGCTCATAACCTCCTCTAACAGGCATCCCTTTAATATGTAGCAAAGGATACATTTTAAAAAATGCTCCAAAGTCTAAGCAGAAATCATCAGCTCAGGATGCTAAAAGAAATTCAGAGTATCATGAAGAGCTAGAAATTCTTGGAGGAAGTAGCATTTTATTTGACCTAATTTTGAAGGATATAAAAGGAAAATGAAGATAGGCCAGATGTGATTATTATATAAGAAAAATTACTAATTAAATCATTTATGTACTAATGAAACAAAATACGGAATTAATTGACGAACTGTAAACAGATACTTTTAATATATATAGTGTGTATATATATATATATATATACACACACACATACAGAATAGTAACCTTGCAGTTTATACATATGCTAAAATAATCATGAGTCAATTTCTGTACAGAATATAAATGTCAAGGAGGAAAGGGCTCTTGATAATTTAAAATAACATGCATAGCTATCTCTTAAAATTTTTTAAAATAAGAAATACTATCTATATTTTAATTCTTACAAATAGATGCTTTGTAATATATAACTTATCTGCAGTAATACGTAATTATGCACTATAAAACTTTAAGGAGTTAATACTAGGTCTTTTTGGACTTCACTATTTTCTCAGTTCCATTCTAGTACTCCTAGATGTCCCAACATTATTCTGCAAGCAACCATTCTTGTGGTGCAACTTTGCCTTTCCATTGTTGCTGGGCTTATTCATGGTGGCCTCACTTATCCAAGAGGTACAGATGGTCTTTCTTGGGAAATCAGCCCTTCCAATCCCCATGTATTTTATGAGAATATATACTGCATGTGTGTTTTTCAAATGAGCACATGTTCATCTGTTCTCTCAAGTTTAGAGAGGAGAAATAAAGAAAAAGGGCATGGAAATTATGGTCAGAGTAAGAATGCTACATGCAGTGCTTGAGAGACCAGATCTTAGTCCACACCTACGCTATCCACAGTATTAGCTCTGAGACTTCAGCATTCTCTCATCTGCCACCGTGATAAATAATGAGATTATTATAAGACCAAATAAGGGAAAGGAGTCAACAGCTCATCACAATGTTTGGTACATGGACAGCTCAGAGTATCAGTTATTAAGAAATTATTTCAGCTTAAAGACAAACTTCCTGCTTTGCAATTTGAAAAAATAAAAAAGTGAATACATATTAAGAAATAAAATGTCAGGGCCAGGGTTTTAGCTCAGTGGTTCCACCGCCTGCCTCCCTAGCACAAGGTCCCGAGTTTGATCCCCAGTACCAAAAAAAAAAAAAAAAGTGTGTCATTTCCAAGAAACAAAATGTCAGCGGTTAAGACTTAAACAAAATTTTAAAAAAAACAACAGGAGTAAAACAACACAGTACTACCAGTGTCTCTACCCACAATTCTAACCACCCTATTAAGTACCCCCTTTCCACATGTCAGGTTACACTATTTACATCTCAGACAAGGCTGTGTTAAGTAAAATAAAGCAAGTCTTCAGCAAACTACTTCAATATATAAAACAAATCATTTTAGATAAGATTTTCCTTATCTTATTTTTAGAATAAGCTACAAGGCGGTTCTGAGGCTGAGTCCCCACCACAACCTACAATTTCACAGCATTCATAACTCCCTTTTGCGGTTAAGTGTGTTGCTATCCTTAGTGACCCGCTATCCTTTTTCCTTAGGGGTTTCAGACGCCCACGCTACCACAAGTGCCTCTCTGGAGTCAGTTTGCTCCCTCGGCCCCAGCGTCAGGCCTGCCTCTGGGAATGGTGAAATGTGAGCAGCAGTCTGGAACAGTCACTTTAAGACTCTCACGTGTTTCCCGGCTTGGTTCCTGCTCGGCTCCTGTTCTGCCAGGAGAAGGGCTGCCCTAGATGGGGCTTTTACTTCCACCTGGATCTGGTGATGAAGGAGATGTGGAGATCAGAAATTGAGCCGCTGACTGACTGCAGCTGACATGTAACTTGAATAAGAAGTAAAGTTCTGCTTCTGCAAGCAAACACTACTTGGAGATTAGTTACTGTAGCCTTAGTTAGCAAAAGCCAAAGAATACACCTTCATTCATTCTGTTTGCAATTATTCAATTCAAGGCACACTGATTGAGCATCTATGATTGCCACTTACTGTGCTTAGTGGTGGAGTGGTGGCTTTAATAAGGTAGACCTATCTGTCTTTCCGCTGGAGTTTATATTCGCACATTAGCATCGTCCCTTTCCATTTTCCTGCAGACTCTAGCAATTGCAAATGTAAGTGGTTAAGGGATTTCTTTTGTTCAGCACTGTCCTACCTGGGTCCACACAAGAACTGGACACAAGAAGAATCTGAAGGAAAATCAAGAAGAATCAGGGGAAATTCCTGATAAGGAAAATGGGTCCCTAAAGCTCTGTACTCAGGCTACAGAACTTCATCACAATTCAATTTTTAGGTGAAAATATACACAGAACATTGGCTAATCCTCAGCACCAAATTGGAAATATTGGAAAGGTAGAGACTAACATTAGCTCTGAAGAGTCAGTGGAGGCTGGACATGGTGGCATGGGGCTAGAATCTCAGAACTCTGGGAGGCTTAGGCAGAGGATAGCAAGTTTGAAACCAGCCTGGGTAACTTAGCAACTTAGTGAGATTCTGTCACAAACAAAGAAACAAAAAAAAATGTCAATGGCAGGGCCATAAGTGTGATTTGATTCAGTGGAGGGAAAGTAATGACCTATATTTGTGTTAACTGTATCCACAGAGTAAATTCTAGAAGTTATCTGGTTGTCACTGGTTAAAGGACCCAGGACCCTTTGACAGCTGTCTCAGCCACCTAATTCATCTCCTTAAAATAAATATAACACTGGAGATAATCTACTTCCATTGCCACTGCTTAGATCCTTAAACATATTCTCTTTGTCCTGGTAATGTTTTCCTTTTCTTTAAAAAATACAACTAAAACAAAACAAAAAACCTTCTTCACTGTTTTTCTGATAATGTTGGTAGTTCTTGACTCTATATTTTCTTTATTTCTTTTATAAAAAAAGAAAGAAAGAGGTTAAGGCCACAGAACGCATTGGCTAGAGACCACTGTGCTATGCTAGAGCATGGCACATTTTCTTGGTGCTTAATGTTTATAAAAAGGGCAAAACTACTGAACTTTTCAACAATTCTTAGGTAAGCATCTTTCTAGGCAGGAGGTTAAATACTTCCACTTGGATAGCACTGATTTTGATCTGAGAATAAAATAGGATTCTTCTGAATTCTTGGTACTATTTCTGTGATTCTAAAATGATCCCAGTAAAGTCCCTAGAAACTGACAATGTCAAATGTAGTCCAGAGGGTTGGCAGAGTAAATGTGAGGGCCATGGGACCTTCTGCTTCTCCCTAATGAGGGTTCTTCACTCTGGGGTGTGGACACTTTTCACAAACTGACTGCATGCACTGCTCTAGGTTTGACTAAACTTAGCAAAGTATACTCATGTCACCTTTCCTGGAGAGGCAGATCTCGAACTCTAGATCAGTTTATCCAGGTAATTTTTCTGTGGTTTGAGGCTCCTCTGCAAAGTGAAAGAGCTGTGGCAGAATTCTTGCAGAGCTATATAGACCTCTGATCTTATGCTTTACGGGTGGAGACACGCTTTTATGAGGATTGTAAAAACCCACATTCTTCACTGAGGAACACATGAAGGATGCAAAAAGAAAGATCTATTGATCCTCTTACATTCTGTCTTCTATAGTTTTAGTGCCAATGCAGGTCCTCATTATAACCTGCCTGAACCACAGCAAAAAAATCATGTCTTCTGTCTCCAGTACTATTTTGCTCCTTTCCTACATACTGTTTCTCTTTCAAATGTTGATGTAACACCCTCCGGTAAAAACCTTCTGCATGCTTTCTGAGACAAAAAGCAGTGTTTTCCACACAAGGGAGCACTCATCCCCAGGGGCTTGCAAAATGGTTTTATTTGGGGCACAGTTTAAAAATAATTCCTTTTATTTAAGAAAATTACGTTTAAAATTGATTAAAAGTTTAAATAAGTAGAAGAGATATGCAGAGAGAGGTAAAACTGTAAGGCTTTTCTCAAATGCCTGATGCTTAGACAATCTACAGGGTAAGATCAAACCTCTTTGGATGGCCTTTCAGTGACCCTAGACTGTTCATACCCTTCTGTATTGACTACTGGAAAACCCAGCAACCAAGAGAATTATACACCTTTCTCCCAAATCTGAAAATGTCACTTTCTTGTGACATTGTTATTTGCAAATTTCTAACTGAAATATGATTCATTTTGTTTGAGATGTTCCTTTTCATTGTTTTCATCTGATTAATATCCATCATCCATCCATCCATCCAACAGCTCATTAAAAATGTTACTGCTGCTGCATGGATTTTTTCCCCAACCATGACTGAGAGTCATTCCCATGATAACTCTGGTCCTTTGGTTTATGACCGTGCTTGGGTTAGACTGGGACATATCTTTGGGCATAGGCTCTTTTTTTCCCAGACCCTTCGTCGCAACACTGCCCCATGTTTGGCAGCCATTCTACAAGGGAACCTTCTAGTGCTGTCCTGGGTTTAGTTTTTGCTTCTCAGCATCTAGTTTATGTTCATATCTACTCTCTTCAGAAGAAGCCGGGACCTAGGCTTAATATATATGTGGACATAAAAGTCCATCATGTTTACATTACCATGGAATTCAATTCTATGACTTGTTAACACCATTATCTTGCTTTTGGGGAATTTTATTTTGCTTAGAGTATTTTTTGGAAGATTACAAATGTTTTATTTAAAAATTAGAGGGTAGTAGAAAGTCTTTAATTCCTAAAAGATAACTTACCTTGATAATCATTAATAAGACACTACTGATACATAAGAGACCTTACCATGTAATAGGTACTATACCAAATATTTGACATAGATGACTTCATTAAATTATTGCTACAATCTTTCTTTTTTGGTACCAGGAATTGAACTCAGGCCCTTGTGCTTGTGAGGCAGGTAGCAGAACCACTGAGCTAAATCCCCGGCCCTATTGCTGCAGTCTTAAAATAAGGCTCTATTATTACTGCCATCTTACAAATAAGAAAGTAGAAAATCCAAGAAATGAAATCCAAGGTAACAGAGCTATTAGGTGAGGTTGATTTGAATTCAAACAAACACCCAACTCCTCTAAGAATGGAATAAGATAATTTAAAGACAAATTACAAATAATTAATTGGAGAAAGGCAAATATTTTGAACTTCACTAGTTTGAGGCAAATTATTTTAGAAGAACCTTATACAGCTTTTAAGTGGTGTAGATCAAAAGTCAGTCCTTTTTTTTTTTGGTACTGGGGATTGAACTCAGGCCCTTTCGAGGCAGGCAGCACACCGCTGAGCTAAATCCCCGACCCTAAAAGTCAGCCTTTTAAATGAAGGATGTACTTGATTTTTATTCTTCAGAGATAAGGAAATACACAGGATTAGTAAAGTTGTTGGAGGTATGCTGATATTTACTCTCAGCTGAGATTAAACCAATTTGGTTCAACTTCTCACCTTCTGAAGGTCATGTTTGAAAACTCCAAATAGAATGAAATTCTTCAACTGAAATTCAAGAATATGTGACTTGTTTTACTCTACCTACCTGACTGGAAATAAGTTATCATTTTTGAGATTCAAAGCAACATTCACACATTATTTAAATAAACAAGCCAGAAAGTGTTCTCATGTGCTTTCCTACTCTGTACATTCATAAAAGCACTGCAATTATAATCACCACTATATTATCTTTCCTTTGGAACATTTGGTACTCTGCTAAATCAAATAAGACCTGGGGATAAATAAATCTGTGTGCATTTTCAATGCTTTTACAAAATACGCTTGGATTCTTCCTAGGTGCCTTTAACTGTGTAAAAACTTTACGTGCATTTATCTTTTTCTGTCAAGTTAATGACAGAAACTGAACAAGTCATAATGGGATCCCTCTGTGGAAGAATGACACGGTGCTTTTGAGAGTTATGACAGTTTTCATCTCCCTGAATGCACAGAGGAGCTGCAGGTGGGAGAGGAATGTCACTGTCAGCACCTAACCCACACTCTGGTGGCCAATCCTTCCTGGCCCAGGACAAGCTTCACAAGGAAACTAACTTTTAGCAAAGGGAGACAGTCAGTTTGAGGCAGGAAGAACAGCTCAGAGTTAGAAGCTGAGAATGGGAACAACAAGCAGATTGTTGCAGCCCTGCAAGATGAAGGCTGGGGAAGAACCTGAAATGAAGCTGCAAAGCCAAGTAAGAACTGGACATTGCAGGCCTCCTGTGCTTGGCTAATACTGCACAGCTGCTCCTTAACTTAGGATGGGTGACATCTTGATAAACCCATTGTAAGCTGAAAGTATCATAAGTCACAAATTCATTGAATACACTTAAGTGGCTGAATACTGTAGCCTAGCAACACAGTGCAGTGTACAGTCTTGGCTGTTTTCCCCCTTGATCATGTGGCTAACTGTGAGCTATGGCTCTTGCTACTGGCATGCAAAAAAGTATTGTACTGTATGTGGCTACCTTGGGAAAGGACCCAAGTTCAAACTTTAAAGGATGCTTTCTACTGAATACTATCATTTTTGCATCATTGTAAAGTTTAAAAGCTGTAAGTAGAATCATGATATGTCTGGGATCTTCTACACAAAACTTGTGCTGGTATCAAAGTATGGAACACCCAAAAGGAGAAGCTAAATCTAACTTACTTTTTATCCACATATTACTGGTTCAATTATGTTATACACAGAGGACATTCAATAGTGATTTGGTGAATGGAGGATCCAAAGCCAAGCTCAAGATAAGCCATTTTTAAAACATGCACACAACCCTCTAATTATAAACTGAATTTATTCTAGAAGTTAATTTGCAGTCAATTGTTTAGAAGAAAGTATGTCATATAACTAATCACATATGTTTGTTATGATCATTTGTAACTGCATCTAACCTAGCCACTGTTTCAGAGAAAGGAAATTTCAAATGGTAAATCCTACTCTGAATCTTGCTCCTGTGGCATTCGAAGGGCTGGGTAACTGAACCTTATTAACTAGATGCTCTTTTGCTCCTTTTTTATCTACTGAAGAAAAAGCAGTCACTGCAAAATAAATCAATGCACACACACACAGATACACACCCAGAAAGCACACATTAGAATCACAAACTTAGAAAAACCAATATCCTTGTTTGCTTAATGTAATCAGTACTCCTAGAGTGAAAGGCTCCAGACTTGGTCTCTGCTGAATCTAAATCAAATGCAAATTTGGTGGTGCCCACAGTTCCATGGCCTACACACCTGCTACAGTACTTAAATCTCTGAAAACAACAAAATCTAAGAGCCTGGCAATATACTGGGTGCTTAGGATATAAAAACATGAAGAAGAAATAGTCCTTGGCCTGGAGAAAACACTCATGTTCCAGTAGGAGAAACACTGACAGCTGCACCCCAGTTGGCGAGGGTTACGCCAGAGGAAGCATCCTCAGAGGTATCAAAGAGTGCTTCTGGCAGAAGGGGCTGGTTGTGCTGAGTCCTCCAGCTAAGGGTGAGTGAATCCTGCAGATCACCAACAAAGTACAGGGTTTGCGAAAGTTATTGCCTGTTTTAAAAAGTGTGATGATTTGCGGGAAACTGTAAACAGCTCATTAGGGTGACGGCAGAAGGGAATGTAGGGAAGGAGAAGACAAACAGGAATAAGATTATAGACTGCTGAGTGTTCGATTTTTATCACCAAGAAGGGTATCAGAGATGAGATGCAAGACTGTGGACTACTGACACTTCATGGCCAGGCAGAGGCATCCAGTAAGTATTTGCTGAATTATACTCAATCCAGAATTCATGCTTTCATAATATCCAGTTCTTATGGTCATTAGATCCACTATATCTTGAAATCAAGTAGCTACAGGAATAAGCCAACAACAATTTCTCATAATAGCGAACACTAAATCAAAGAAGTAAAATCAAGTACTCTTACAGACACTGAAAAATCTAGCGCTATACATAAATGCCTTAATTAAGAGACAAAAGTCAGGGCATATTTTTGTAGGAAAAACAGAGTCATTGGCATCCTGTTGTTTTTTTATGTGCTATCTGCTTTTCATTGATGTCTACTACAAATTAACCTATTACCTACTTGACAGAAGTGAATGCATATGCTTACAAAGTAACCTATCATTTATTAATAGACAGTAATGGACAGTTATAGAGGTAGATAAATATGCCAATTTGTTTCAAAACATTTTCTACAAGCTATGAGTGTATCTCATAACCTAAGGAAGCCTGATGACATTTGCATATTTCACAACTTTTTCGAGGAAGCCCAGAAAATAAGAGGTTTATCAGTACCTGACCACAGGCCATATGTAACAGGTGCATCCCATTTGGGTAATGCACTGACACCAATTCTGATCTTGGAGATACTGAGGATATGGTCAGAGAACACAACTCCTACCAAATGTTCACAGTCAGTATGTAGCACTGTCTTATACTAACAAAAATTCAGAAAGAGAATTACAGTGAAACCATGGCCATAATAAAAAGAAGTATAAATCATTATATGTAGCAGAGCTCTTGGTCAGTAATGAAATAAAAGGATGCCATGATAGTTTTTGACAGTGAAAATCATATCTGTTATATTCAATAGAGAATCAGTTCCCTCTCACAGAGGCTCTTACAACTCCTCAACTAGGCAAGTATTTAAATGACTTACATAATATTTAATTTAGCTGCTCTTTCCACTAATCTCCTTTGATGGAGTCCTTGGGTAGGCACTGAATTCTCCCCATATGTGGAATTTAAAAGGTACAGTGTGAGAAAAAAATAAAGGGAACTATTATTGTTACATTTATCAGTGCTAATAAATGAAATTAAACTGTATTATAACATCGTTAGTTTACTTGTTCCTTGCAGTCTAGGAGAAAAATCCTTCTTGTAGAAAGTGTGACTAATACTGATAATATATGGTGAATGCCTCTTTACAAAAGCAGAAATTAACTGACTGATCTCTTTTGAGTTGATCAGAGCAATTAAATACATTGTTACCAAAGGTGTATTTGCCTTCAACATAAAGATGAACTTAAGGAAAAGAAGTTCGTTTTCATGAACTGCGTAGCTGCATTCCAAGCACCTTGTGGCCCACATAGATCTAACTTTCAACATAAAATAAAATGCTTTATAAAGAAAAGACAGCCTCTCTGTGCACCTCATTAATGAAGTCCCCAATGTCCCCAGGATGTGGGGCTGCAGATCGGACTGGATACTGCGGCTCAGCGTGAATGGGTCTCTCATCCAGCCGCCGGATTCCTACAGGCTTGATCGCATCGGGCTCCACGGTATCAGGCTGCTGGAGCTGGCTCAAGTCATAGTCCTATAAAAGACAAAATCAAAAATCCATGGTTGACGGGCACGAAGATAGGAAATTACAACCTTTGTTTTTAAACACATACTTAGAATGCACAGAAATGAGTGAAATTTAACATAATGGAAAAGTTGCCACTAGGAGTTTTTCATGTTATGATTAAATATTTCTTTCACACAGCTCTTTCTTCTGTGTTTTTTCATTTCTACAGTCTGTGCTCCATCTGCTTTAAACTGTTCCTCATCAGCTCCCAATGGGAAATAGCAGTGTGACGAGCGAGGTCTAAAAATCCAACAAGAACATACAGTTGTACCACAGAAGCAGAGGAACTATCTTAGTGTCTTCAACATAAAAAAGTGATGAGTGCTTTTCCCTGTCCCTAAGAAAGGCATTGGTGCACTGAGATTTCAAAGTCATCTCGCATCCCTCCTCCCTTCTGAGGTCTAAAGCAGGAGTCCTGGAATTATGGGATATGGGTCTAGTCTGATCTGTGGCCCATTTTCCTTTCAGAATGGCTTTCACATTTTCAAATAGTTACTCAAAATATCAACAAAGAAGAAGATGCTACAGGGACTGTATGTGACCCACAAAACCAAACCTCTTCCTTTCTGACTCTTCACAGAGAAAGTTTGTCAACCTCTGGCCTAGGGTTGCTGGGCCAGGGACACTGCGGATCCCGCTCTATTGCACCCCTGTGGGATGTCTTAAGAGAAACAGCCTGTCCACTGGCAGAGAAGCAGAGCAGAACTTTGAAGAAGGATGCCCTGAGCACAGGCTGGGCACTTGGAACTATTTTTAGCTATGGCATCAGCCAGCTGGACAGTAATGCATACAGAAACTGACTGTAAGGTGGAAATGAATCAAAATTCTAGGTTTGGGCAAGTACTTCATACTTTTCAAATCTCTAAGTTAAATTCCAGTGCTACAAACTGACATGTCCCCAGCTTAGCAAAAATGCTCCAGTTCAACTTTGACACTTACCAAAAGTACTGATTTTCTAGTGCTCTTCTTGGTTCAGGCTACATCTCTGCCTAAAACCTCTTATAGCATCTCCATAGTGGTTTTGACTTATTCAACACTTGAACATGTACCATGTTTTGCAGTGTTTTGGGTGTTCTACATATGCCTGCTCATTTAATCTCTTTAGTGCATTTTTTCATCACTCCCATTTTATAGACACAAGGGTAACCCAAGAAACTTGCTTATGGCCCCAGATCTATTAAGGTGCAGAAACAGACTCCATTTCCAAATGTATTGGATGTCACTGTCTGGCTCTTTTCACATGCCATCTATGACTGGAAGTCAAGTCTGAGCTACAAGTCTGGATTTAGAGAGTAATGAAGTACACAGGTACACAGAGGAGTATGGATGCAAAGAATGTTGTGGGGAATGACTAAGATGATGAAGAAGAGAAAGGCTACTAAACTTCATGCCCATTATGTGCCAGGCACTCTGCCAGGGTCTTGATAAGGATTTTCTTACTGTCAGTACTCTCTAGCAAACCTGCAAAGAATGTTTTATTATCATCATTTTTGGGTAAAGAAACGGATTCAGGGAGACGGAGTAACTTGCCCAAAGTCACACAGCTGGCACGATTAGGATGGAAATCAATAGCAGGTGTGTGTGTCTAAACTGTCTGACTAAAAATTTAATTCCATGTTCACAGACATGAACCTCCCCCCACCCCCGTATTTCCTTGCCGAGAGCTTCACCTAGCCTAAAAGCTGAAGGCCTGGGATGGAAATGCTCCTCCTCTCAGGAGTGTACAATGGAAGGTGGAAGGTGAGTCAACAAGGTGAGAAAGACCAGCCAGGGTGGGTGGAAATGGGGTACACCTCACGGTATAAATATTCAGGGGGAAAACAGGAATTAGGTTTGAACCTGGAAACACAAAGCCTGGGGAGAGAACAATGTTAATGAAGAACCAACTGCATGAGCAGAAGGCAGGATTGAGTGTTCCAAACCATCCACACAAAACTTGACTGAACACATCCTGACCCTGCACAAATGTGCTCCATTTTCAACTTTATAGAATTTATAATTACTAGTTGTATTTTAAAGTATAAGACCACAATGATCTAACATGTGAAAAGCTTGAAACGAGAACAGGCTATGCAAGACAACAAAGGATTTATTTACAGAATTTTGAATGCTTTCACACCATGGTTTTCAAGCATGGTTTTCTAAGCCACATGGAATTCCTAATACCAAGCATAGGATGGTGGGGTAAACTGTGGATAAATGTGTATTCTAACAATTACCAAAGCTGTACCTAGAAAGAGGAAAAATAGGTGGTAAGTTTATTGATGACAGTTAATAAATATTTCTACCCTGTGGGTGAAAAATGCTTTATTAGATGTCTGAATTACACAAAAATGGGTAGGTGAATCTTACACTTAAAGACTTTTCTGGTGATACATTACGTGACAGTTCAATTATAATATAGAGGCATTTTTTTCTTTTATATAACCAGAGATGGAAAGAGCACAGCACATGGGCTTTGCTCATTCCGATGTGCATCTGCAAAGAACCCCTCTCCCCAAACTTCTTATACAACTCCTACTGTAGCCAAAGGTAAATACAAATGCATTTTGATTGGCCAGCAATGTTTCAAAAATACTCAAGTCACCAACATTTAGACATAGACCGTCTCATCTGAACACAGGAAGATTTGGCAAAAGAGCTTCCTTCTGACAAAATAATTAGTTGGAGTTGACAGCAGCTATTCCCTTTGGACAAGGTGACACCTCCTGGCCTGTTTCACTTACTAATATGTATAAAACATACTTACAGAAGAGCATATTAATTTTCAGGTTTTTATTTTTCTTTTGATAGGTTCTTTCTACTACTGTAAGAAGCAAAAAGTAGGAACAGTCTTGAAATTCAATCTTACTCAGTCCTTTAGACCATCATTGTGTCAGGCCCATAGAAAGCATCATTCAAAATAAGTGTCAAATAAAATTCCAGTGATGACATGCACACCGCATATCAGATGCAAGAAATGTGTCTTAAGATGCCACAGCAAGGGCCAGGGGTTTAGCTCAGTGGTTCCACCGCCTGCCTTGCAAGCGCAAGGTCCAAAGTTCGATCCCCGGTACCAACAAAAAAACAAACAAAAAAACTGGATGAACTTTGAGAAAGTCATCATCGATGTGTAAGATGCCACAGCACAGCAATAATTCAGGATGGGGAGGGACTCACAAAACCCTGGCCCCATCCCTGAGAATCATTGTTAAGTTAGTCCCCCATATGAGAGAAAGCTGTTAAGTTCCTCAGTTATAATGGCATCAAAAGATTCAGAAAGTCGCTGATTTACAGGAAGTTAGCAACAGTAACCACTTAGTGTTTCTCTGTGATGGTATCCCCCTGTTTACTGCAAGTATGAGATACAACTCTGACAGTGGTGGGCAGCACGGAGAGGGCCCCTGTGGTCACAGGGGTGGGGTTTTCTACCGATGCCCATCTGTGGGAAATGGGAAAAGTCCTGATGTGAGGGTCCAATTCTAGACCTTTTGATAAAGGCTCACCCTCTGGGAATTTCCTAAATTATACATCTTTACAATTCCACAGTGCTTTACTTAAAAACACAAATTACTACATGTAAGCTGAGAATTATCATGAGTATTACAGAGACTGAGAATGTTCTCAAGGTCTTTGAGTTCATGGCCCTATTCTGAAGAGTATAGACAATCCAAAAAGAAACTTGCATTTGATTCCTAAAACTATGGCAAAAGAATGAATCTGAAAATTCTTTCATGATTGTCCACATTTACAGTGCTAATTTCCCAAAGAAATTTAATTTGCAAATCAAAGTCAAGGCAAATCTTCTTTTAACAAAGTTTAGAGTATGTGTTAATTGGAGCCTATCATTAAAAGTTGCCATTGATGTGGGGTTTTACAATGGTAACCTTCTAAGTAATTTAAACTTTTCTCTGTTTTAATTTAATACCAGGAGTTAATAAGAAGATAATAAGCAGATAAAGCTCTGGTTTGGGCTTTTGTTATTACATTTCACTTCTTATAATCATTTATAATTGGCTTAGAAAAATAATAGCAAAAACCTAGGTTAGGGTATTAGGTTGTAATACAAAATAAAAATAAAATAAAATAAAAAATATAGCATCAGAATAAGTTGGAATTCTGGAATCCCAGGCAAATATTTCAGGAAACAACATTGCAGGTAGGCTCTACAGAATCACAACCTATTTCAGGAAGTGATGAAAACATTCATTTAATGTTCTACAAAGATTCAAGGAGTTCCTACTGGGTGCCAAATGCCATTTTCAACTGTGAGAGGGTGAAAGAAGAAAATCAACCTTTATCCCATCATCTGTGAAGAATCACAGTAGGTGTGTTCTCGTGCAGTGTCTGGTATAATCCACAGAAAAACCCTCCCAAGTGAAGTCACTTCTCTTCCCAGTCTATTGACATCACAGCTCAGAGAGGTTAATGATTTGATCCAGGTTAAAGACTGAGTGAAGCAGTGCCAAATGATAAAACAAGAGACCACCAGAGCAAGGGAAAAAATGCACCAAATAGTTCACAGAATAAATAAATGCACCGAAGAGTTTACTGATGAGCAAACATCAGGGGTTTTCAGTGCTGGCAAGGAAAATTCAAGGTGGTGATGCTACTTACTAGAATCTATACCAGAGTCTCTAATACTAGAGTCTATCTTGCAGGAAAGGCTTGTCTTAGGTCTGTGTACAGTTGGTCCAAACAAGACTCAGTTGTTTAGACAGCAAGGCATCTTCTCTTAGGTGCAACGAGGGTCCTCCGGCACATGGAGGGAGGGGACGGGCACAACGGGCACTTCAAGGTAGCGGTCATTTATCCACTCCACTGATCAGAACCAGTGCCGACATGCATGTTTAGCTCTCTCACAGGCCAGGACTTTTTATAGGAGCAAAGGGAAAGTCACTTAAAATTCTCATACCAATAAAATAAGTACATTTAATGTTTTAAGACTACATGGCTATGAAAAATAAAAATACTAACATTAAAGTAAA